ATCAGTACGATAGCAAAAAAATGTAATGTTATAAGAAGTAAGGCTGGCAGCCAACTCTTTTGTGTCTGATATCGCAGAACTCCTACAAAATGCTGGTGTGAGCAAATACGGCCGCTCCAGGGAGAAGTGCTCTTTTCACACAGTCCCTTCATGTTGAAACCGCACTGATACTCCCCAAGATAGCAAGCGTGCCAGCGATCACGACCGCCTTTTAAGTCCTAGTTTCATTATTGCTGCTTGAGCAACACCCCAACCTCTCCGCATTGTTTCATGCTCGTTCAAGGCAGGTGGTTACATTCGAAGGAGGTTCTATCACGCGGGAGATGTTATCTTATGCACTTTCCAGGCGATAGGGATGGGTCGACTCATTTTATTTCTGCTTCAACAGCACTTACGTGCTTTTACCCGCTCGTGAAAGTTGCGATGCGCGGGGCATGTTATCAATTTGGACTTGTTATGGAACATTGCGGCGACGGCAAAAACCCACCGAGAGTGTCCATATAATTGCTACCCATATTATTGCTACCTCAGTAATAATGCAATTTTTTACTGTAAGTTAAGTATTTTGAGTTATCTCTAGCCCTCAGTCCCCATATTGTTTAATTTGCCCTCTTATTTCCGAATTTTGTACCAAATCTGCATATAACGAAATCCTCTTTATAACGATTTTTTGGGAAATAAATTAATTTTGTTATATTAAGGTTTAACTGTACAGTCGAACCCCACTACAAAGAAACTGAAGAGGCACGGAAAAAATTGCGTTGAAGCGATATTTTCGTTGTAGTGAAATCGAAAAATATAGCTGATCTGAAGTAGCAAAACAAAGGAACGTTTATTTTCAAAATTCAAAAAGTGTTCGCCGCTTTTAATTTTATCCCAGCAGCGTCACGATGTGATTCTCACCCATGCATAGCGAGGCCATGGTGAATAGCATGCTGAAACAATGACTACTACCGTTTTCGTGAACGAACCAAACAATTGCATTAACACGTTAGCACCAGCAGCTGTCCGCCATCAAAACGCCGAGATGGCAGCAGGGTATCGTGAAGCGGTGACTTTTGTTTTGTTTTATGCCATTCTTATCATTCATCACTCGTGGCTAGCTGATTTTGTTGATAATGCGGACGAACAGAAGCTCTGATTAATTGCCACACGGGCCAAGTGTGAACAAAATTGGAATCGGAAAAGCCATCGTTCTGAAGATGCACCCAGCAGCTGCGCAAAGGAAACCATGAACTAAGCAATTGAGCTTCAGCTTTGGATTGTCTGCGGCTATACAGTAAACCCAATGTTGAACATTTGATGCATTTTCAGAATCTGAAAATATGTCGACGAAGTCTAAAACACGGGTTCGCACCACCAGAAATCACCGCTGTTCAACAAGCATGGGCACCGCCATCGCTATCGAGCAATGGCGGCGCCCATGCTTGCTCAACAGCGGTGGTTTTTGGTGGTGCCAACGCATGTTTTAGACTTTGTCCACAAACTCAGGTTTTGAAAATGTATCAAAATGTTAAAGATTAGGTTTACTGTATAGCAATAAATATCTGAGCCTGGAATCACATTTTGAAATTTTCCTGAAGCGAGATGTCAGAAGAAAACGTGTTTGTTGTGGCGACAATCTTTATGCATTGACTCCTATGGACAGCTGACAGGGAACCGTGAATTTTTCGTTGTAGCGGGGATTTTGTTGAAGCGGTGTTCATTGTAGCGGGGTTCGACTGTACATCAATACATCATTGTGCATGCTACAATCCTCTTTTTTACCTTTTATTTTTTAAATATATCACTTTTGTTCCTTAATCTTTCTAACGACTGCTCTATATTCTTTAGAAGGACCACAAGGATATCAGCTGCAATTTTTCGACAATGGCTTTGCACACCAAAATAACCACAACTTCTACACGTCACTCTTTGCTCAAGATACTTTCATAGTCATTATCCTCTGTTTGTTAACTCCTAATACTTTTCTTGTACTACCACTTTCACAAAAATAGTATGTCGATCTAATTATAACTATTTCTCCTTCACTAAAATATTTTTTGGACCCTTAGGCTGCTAATACTCAACGACTTCAAACAAAAGCCTGTGCTTTTTCACTCTCTGCGTCTATTTCACATTTCTACTTTCTTTGTATACACGTTACTAAAGCTTGCACTACTCTGTTCAACCTCGATTACAGTTGGCGACTGCTTATTCAGATGTTGGAAATTCGGACATGCTCATTTATTTAAATGTAATCGCGGCCTCGCCACTCACCTCACTTACCTTAATGTAAACTTTGGACCTATTTGACAGTATTAATGTGGTCGGTTGTTGATCAGCCTGTATGTAATCCTGCTTGATCCTTTCGTTGATTGAATCCTAATGTTGTATTGAAGAAGGCATATGATTCAGTATAGATATTCGCAGCCATGCAGGCACTGCGGATTTAAGGTGTTGACGAAGCATATACAAACATTCTGGAAGAAATCTACAAAGGATCAACTGCCACCATAGTGCTCGATAAGGAAAGCAACAGAATACCAATCAAGAAGGATGCAAGACAAGGGGATACAATCTCTCTTGTGCTATTTGCTGCGTGCTTTCAGGAGGTTTTCACAGTCATAGAATGGGAAGAGTTAGGGATAAAAGTTAATGGAGAGTACCTTGGTAACCTGTGCTTCGCAGATAACATTGCAATCAATGCTCAGTAACTCAGGGGACGAGTTGCAATTCATGATTATAAAATTAGACAAGGAGAACAGAAAGGTAGGACTTAAAATTACTCTGCAGAAAACAGAAGCAATGAACAACAACTTCAGAAGAGAACAGCGCTTTGAGATAGGTAATAGTGCACTTGAAGATGTAATAGAGTATGTCTACGTAGAACAGGTAAAAACCACGGAACTGAACCACGAGATTGAAGTAACTAGAAGAATAAGAATTGGGTGGATCACATTTGGCAAGCATTCTGAAATCGTTAATGCCAGTCGACGACTAACCTTCAAGAGTAAGGTGTATAACAGCTGCATCTTGCCAGTAATTACCTGCGGATCAGGAACCTGGAGGCTTACAAATAGGGTTCAGCTTAAGTTGAGGACGACACAGCGAGCAATAAAAAGAAAAATAGTAGGTGTAACCTTAAGAGACAAGAAGAGAGCAGAGTGGATTAGGGAACAAACGAGGGTTAAGGATATCGTAGTTGAAATCAAAAAGAAGAAATGGACATGGGCCAAGCATGTAGCGCGTAGACAGGATAGCCGCTGGTCATTAAGGGTAACTAACTGGATTCCCAAAGAAGGCAAGTGGGTTAGGAAAAGACAGAAGGTTAGGTGGGCCGATGAGATTAAGAAGTTTGCGGTTATAAATTGGCCGCAGCAAGCACAGGACCGAGTTGAGTGGCGGAACATGGGAGAGGCCTTTGTCCTGCAGTGGACGTAGTCAGGCTGATAATAATGATGAATACAATCTCGTGTTGCGGCGAAGCTGCCTTTCAGGCTCTGTCACATTAGTTGGGTTTTCACAGAAGTTGAAAGACTAGAAGGAGAAGCTGAACAAATAGCATTTTTGCCATTCTAGTGTGAATTATTGTCAGCAATGCTTTGGTTGCATCAAATCATGTAGTGACATAATTGCTTCATTCTTGATAAGGCAACTATGAAGCACCACCCTATCATTGCTGCGTCAACCTTTCATGTTGCTCATGGGAATTCTCTCCAACTTCTTTTCTGTTCTGCAATTTCTCTTCGAAGTATTCGAGAAATACTCTAGAAGTATTTCAGAATTATGCAAAAAATATTCCATTCACACTCACACTTCAATATTTTAGTTTGATTTGCACCTACAATTTTGCTATTCCCAGAGCGTAGCATTTACAGTTTGGCTGCACATTGCAATGTGCTCTGCTTCATAAATGTGAAGGACAGTTCTGGTTCTGTGCTAAGGACAGTTTTGGTAGGTGCTACCGTACGTCACTTTCGCCTACAATACTGCCGTCCAGGAAACTACGCGATTCACGCCTTTCCGTCTTGTCTATGGACTTGAAGTCCAGACCATGCTAGATGCGATGCTTCCGCACAATTGCGACGCTTTGATCACGCCTGACGCTTTGCAGCTTACCCAGTACGCCAGTTAGCACGCCTACACATTACGCACCAGCAGAGTATTGACGCATGCCACTACAACGCTCGCCATCGACAAGTTGACTACCATCCAGGTGATCAAGTTTGGGTGTGGACTCTAGTCCGACCCCAGGGATTGTCAGAAAAACTGCTCAGTCGCTACTTTGAACCGTACAAAGTGTTGCGACACGTGAGCGATGTGAACTACGATGTAGTCTCTGATGGGGCCTTCTTGCCACGGCATCGAAGGCACCTCTCGGAGATTGTGCACGTAGTGCGACTGAAGCCGTACTTCACGTGGTAGTGCGACTGCGCATGAATCTTATTGTTTTGTTTTTGTGTATGTGCGTATTGTCTGCTGGTTTGCCCCGCCTTTTCTTTGCACTTTAGAGCATCGGAGCAATGCCTTTTTTTTGTTTCAGAAGGAGAATAGTGCCACTTGCCCACTAGGTACAGCGAGTGCATGCCATGGCTGTCCGCCAGAATGGAAGAAGATGTTATGGGGCAGCGCACACTCTTGCTAATTGTTGTTGTTACTGAGTCAGCCATCTTGCCAGTTTTCTGTGCGTCTCTCTGCCGGCTCAGTTGTTCTGAGTAAAAGATCCTTCGTAGCACGTGATAGTATCGTGGCACAACCTTATCAGAATAGTCTGAAACATGGAGAAGTTTCTGAAACATTGCGGCATGGTTTATTCCGAGCAATGATAAAAGCTTTTTGTGCGGGAAGCTCAGTTAAATGAAATAAGAAAATAAGCGCACATGTCTCTAGTAATCAATGTTAGTGGTTACTTTGCGAGTTCTGAAATGGCTTTGTCGGGGCCCTAAGTTTTCTTGCAGTACTGTGCTCATCGGAATGTTCTGATTGTCTATTCCTCAGACTCTGCTTTCGAATTTCAGACTCTGCTTGCGAATGCCTCATGCCGACCCTGAAGAGGAGGATGAGGCCATGATCGACACTGAACAAGATGGCTCCATAAACCAACTGCCACACTCACTTTAAAGGAGTGCCACTTTCGCCGTCGCAATCCATCACGCCTTTTGAGTGCTGCCTAGCAGGGAGCACCACCTGAAACCGATGGCTGTGCGGTGGCTTCAAACGTGTCGTCTGAGCTATGGCGTTTCTTTTGCACATGACTTGGCACCAGGTGTGCAAATGTCTGAGCAGTTGAGGTGTTTGACATGTGCCTGGTGTGTTGACAAAGCCTTAACGTTGTTCTCTGTACACCAACTATGAAATTTCAATAGGAGGGCTTGCGAATGCTCAAATGGTGTTGTAGGCTTTGGCACTATGTGATGTTATTGTTAGTGAAACCCCAGATACCGTTTTTGTTGAAATGTAACACAACATTTTTTTCCTGATTTTTGCAGCTTAAGGTCGACCTTCGCGTTTCTTTCAAATGCAAAAATAGCCATTTTGTTTTCTTCGATGCAATGAAACGGCACTCATCGCATTAAAATAGTGGTAGCAATATGATTGAGTAAATACGACAGTCGAAATTATTTCCTCTACAGTGTGCTCATGATGATATTGTGGTTTCTGCGTGTAGTACCCCAGAACTTACATTAATTATATAATAGTGTTTTATAAATTAATCGAATACATTCTTGTATTCATGCTGCTATATTTATGTTAAAGTTTTCAAATATTAATTCTCAATTGTGTCATCATCACCTTGAATACTCCTAGTGCAGGGCAGGGGCCTATTCTATTTTTTTAAGCTTTATTGTAGTGTGGCAAAGGACATGGACGCCAGAAAGAACATACGACGGCACGCAGTGGTAACTTGCTACAAACGTTTATTTTTGTCATGCTCAAAAAAGCCAATGGCTGTGACAAGTGACTTTTGAGCTTGTAGTGTCCATTTGCCTAGGGAAGAAAGCAATTCCTAGCTTTGAAAATTTATTGTGAATTACAGGCCGCGCGCTGCGCTATAACATTTGCCTCGCGTATCCACGGTAGCCTCGACTACCCATCGACATCGTTTTCTGACCATGTTCAATAAGTGTTGCAGAGCCCCTTTAAATTCAAGGGGGGCTTTGCGGCAAAGTGAATTTTCTTTGGATAAATGTTTTCACGGCTTAGCACTTTCACATTGCAGTGAAACCACCTTTACAGGCAGTGACATGTGGAATAATAAATACTTATTCATTGTTTTCGAATACTTCGAAAATATTCGATAATTTTAATTTGAATTGAAGCAAATTCGAATACTCAACTGTTTCTTCGAATATTCAAAGCATTCAAATATTCGCACAAGCCTACTTCCAGCAGTCTCATCTTCTTGGCAGCTGGACGCCGGCATGACCTTAGCGCACTCATTGAAAGCTTTGTGTTTGGCAACACTGCAGTTTCACTTACTATTCAAAAGGAATTCTTGATGCAGACCGTGTATAAATGCGTCACAGTTCTGTGTGCTGACGTGGTTGAGAGCTGCACTCGCTAGGCATCGATAGTTTCACCCAGTGGCTTGTCGTTTTTGGAACTCTCTCAAACCGAAACTTATACTGGTCGATAATAAGGAGCCTGTATTAGTTATCTGTCACGTGCTGCAGTAAACAATGTGCCGTGTTATAACTAATAGGCCTTCAGCAACACATTGCAGCAAAAAAATGCAAGGTCAAAGTTTTTGTGTCGGTACCCAGCTCTTTGCGATTATGAGCCACTTTGTGGCACAACTATAGGCCTTTTTGTGGCACAAAAATACGGCATAACTACAGGCCTCTTGTCTTCTTCTGTGTAGTTCCATCTCTGGTGCTTGCCCTTCAGCTTCTCAAGCAAAACCTCAGAGACAAACGTCACTACCACACATGGGTAATGCACATCCTGCAGCTTCTTTAAATGCACGTTAAAACTTGTTCAAATTGTGATGGGACGATTTCATATAGAACGATTCCACACATATTGTAACAATGGTGCATTTCACAATCTTAGAGTGTGCAGTCTCGTAAGGCAAAAGACCTTTACGCACACATAGCGAGTACATCCAGCAGACATGACCATCTGGTAAGGACAGTTGTTTGTGCAGTTTACTGTCCCATATGAGCCCTTGTGATCTCATGTGTCCTTCTGAGCTGAGCTCTTGCCATTGTCAGCTAAAATATCGGCTACTGTGGCAGAGCTTTCATGGTTAGTTTATCACTACAAGAAAATTGTCAATGTATCTAAAAATCAAGAGCACGTCACTGTCTAAAGCACTTTTTTAGAGCGCAGTCATTAAAGGATAAAAAATATATCAGAAAGTACATGCAGCACACTCAATTGAATACACACACCCTTTTTTTTCAATATGTAGCTTATTTTCAAATGAGATAAAATTTGCCCTTAAGTGAAACTCGAGCAGGGAGAAGAATTTTTCTGAGGACATCCCAGCAGCATTTTGAAAATCTCATTTGCCGTTTTCTTCTATGCGCATCATCACACTACAAACTAGCTCATCTTACGGTATTGAATAAAATATAAATCTTTGGCATTCACAGATAAAATCCTGAAAGGTTGAGCATTGGGCTATTTGGTGGAGCATTATTTCACAGCATATACGAGGACAAACTAAGAGGTATTTGTGTATCTTCTCTTTGAACAAAGAAAAGATACACAGATACCTCTTTGTTCATCCTCATTGTACATGCCATTGAAGACTACTGAAAGGTTGTCTCTTAAAAAGGAAACAACTTTTGAAGAATTGAGTTGTGTCGAAAGGATCCTCCCTAGTTAGCAGATTCAACTGTTCCTGCAAAAAACGGCTTACTAAGGTCTGTCAAGTACTGATGTTTTCACTTACTGTTTTACAGAAGGGTATATTTGGTTTGTGGAAAAAATTTCAAGAGCAAGCACCTAACATTGCTTAACTCGTTTTACATAGTTCTATTTTTTTTCTTTGCCCTATGAAAGCATTATGAACAACATTAATGTTGCTCTTTTGAGCAATCTATTTTGTATCATGGGAGACACTATGAATATAGGGCATGACCTTATAATTTTTTCAGACACTGCAAAAGGTGTCATACACATTCCTGGAATACTTTTCCAATGCTTTCCTTTGCACTTTTTTTGTGTCACACAAAATGTCGCTTGGGTACCCAGCCACGTTTTGGGTACTCTAATGAGTACTCGCAGGTATCCATATCGATACTCTGTACCCCTGAGTACTCAGTGGTACCCAGCTGAGGTGCAAGACATGTTCAGAGCTGTAGCACATCGTGTGTTGGCACAATTTTCTGAGTGCATCGCTGAGGCAGTGCATTTGCAATACTTGAATAGCTTAGTGTGCATGAAATCAAAGGAAAGCTGCTTATTTGCCCGGGGTTTGTATAAGCAGCAAGTTTTGTAATTGGTGTGTGAAGTGTCAATGTCTAGAAACCAGATTCTCACATAACATGCTACAGAAGTGGTTTCTAGGGTTTGAAAAATAGGTGCAAACCAAACTCAGTGAAGCAGTTATGTTGAATAGGTTCAAGATGACACTGCTGATTATAGAAGCACGTAACATAGCCGTACTTGGTGACGCGTCTGTCAGTATGCCATCAATCTCTGAAAAAGAGTTGCAATATTTATGTACAATAGCTTCATTCAAAAATATTCTTGTTTCACGAGCTCACTGCTGTGAAAATCCGTTAGACACAAGCGGAGTGACAGGAACTGCACACTTCAAGTCTCTCCTTTCATGCTGAAAGCTATGCAGAGGGGGATTACAAGGGGGCAAGATGATGATGTCAGGGCACCTTGAACACTTTCTTTGTTTGAACGGGCAGCTTATTCTGAATGTGATCGCGAGTGTGCGCACAGGCGCGTGGCAGCATCTCACAGTACCCATGGTCACAATGCGGGAATCCGGCAGTGGCTGCGGACTCGTGTATATGGCATAGTGATTTGGGCGTCATCTGTAGACAGAAAAGGGTGTGATTTGTGGCCCACTTCAATAATTGTCAACTCCAAGTTGTTTGCTTGGAATTAATGGGTGAAGCCGTGACTAGCAATCGGCAGCGTTTTCTAACCATGTTGAAAAGCTTTGTGGGGCCCCTTTAAAAATGGACCTTGACTAACCCGCCTAGTCTCGCACCTTCTTGGTTTAAATAGCTTTGCTGGCCTTTTGTGCTTGAACTTATTTATTCTCATGTGGCATCAAACGAGCTAATTGTGTCGGTTTCTAGAGGTAATTTCTGAAAATATGATTACAGAGTGGGACATACTTTAGAAGCAACATATGTTGCACACAGTGTGTTTGCGTGTCATCTATAGCTGTGTAATATCAGCTCCCAATTTAAATGCGTATGCAAATCTGTGGTATTACTCGCTAAAACCATGATATGAGGCACTCGATGGTAGGGAACAGAGGCTTCTATCTGCCCAAGTTGGCAGTCTAAACGAAATATTGCATTTTACATCTACCAGGTCAAATGTTAGAGTGTTTGGGCAAGGTTTATACCACCATTATGCTGCACCCTTAGAACAAAGTGCAGTCATTCATTGAAGCTTCTAGGGTATCCGAAACAAAAATGTGGCTTTGAAGAGAAGAAAAAATGATGAAGCATTCTTTTTTCCATTTTTTTAAACACCTCTGCAAAAAACTTAACGAAAAAAGTGAAAATATAAGAGGTAAGTTTTCTTTGTACCCAATATTTATGATAACTAACAGACAATGATGCCAAGGAAAGTATGGGGATGTTTGTGGTAATAATTTTAGTGTGAATGTGATGAAAAAAAGCAGTAATTTATCTTTTCGTCCACTATTATCACAATAAAATAACAATCACCCCTAACATTCATATGTTTTCCTTGGCATAACTGTCTCTTAGTTCTCATTAATAGTGCACCTAACTACACAAATGTTCTGAGCTGCAATTATGTTTGGTTCATTCCCTCTTGTCTCTCTTTGTTTGAATTGTTAAGAAGTACACGAATATATAGTGGTATTATAGTTGTAATACCAACATGCACATCCACAGCATGGCATGTTTTCAAAGCACGCTCTACTTCTCGTGCCACAAAGCACCATTTATTAAAAATTATTTATTTGGCAAAACATTTTTTTTGTATTTTCCCATTTGGATGCCTTACCAATACAGTAGAATCTTGATGATATGATTACACTTTATATAAATTTCATGATGATACGAATTTGAAGGTTTTTGGACGGTCTATGTTATATAAAATAGGCCATCATTCGGTCCTATACGAACAGTTTCCCCAGCTGCCGGGGATGATACAAATGTGCAAATGACCATTTCACATGAGTAGCGCGATGCGGAATGGCCACCGGCCCACCACGACTGTTGGCGGTATTTTTACACCCCGCTTTTCTTCACCTCTTGCATAGCGAAGAAGTGTTGTATTCTTTCCTTGCCATTTTCACGTGGTGTTGGGGTCCCCCATAAATGCCAATTTAGCTGCTCCAACTGCTGTGTTCGTACGGTCTTCGAGAGTTTTTGGACTGCCTAAGCTTGCCACATATCGGAAGACCGAAGCGTTTGTTGTGTCTAGGAAGCCGAAGGCTCTTTCTTTCAAGGAGAAAATCGAAATTCTGAGGAAGGTCGACGAAGACCCCAAGAAAAAGTGCATTGACTTGGCCTTCAACTCTGCACTGTTGTTGGGCAGCGAGAAGTAATCTTGAAAAATTCCCAGCACTTCGGCATGAACGTGAAGCCAGCGAAGACGGCTACACACGTAAAGCTGGAAGACATTCTGCTTACGTGGTTTCGGGAAGTGACAGCAGCCGACGTCAACATGGGCGGCAAGGTGCTACGTGAAAAGGCGTACAATGTAGCGCTTTTTCTTGGCATCGACAACTCTCAAGCTTCCGGCGGATGGCTGCACCGTTTCAAAGAATGGCATGGATTAGTTTACAAAGTTGTCAGCTGTGAAGCAAAGAAAATGGACAAGTCGCAGATGAACGGCTCGCTCAACACGCTGCTGGCTCTGATTTCGAACTACGCACCATGTGACATATTCAACGGTGACAAGGTGGGACTCTTTTTCAACCTTCAGCTGGAGAGTAGCCTGTGTGTAAAGGGGCAGACTTGCTAGGGTGGTCAAAAAAGTAAGGAGCGTGTCACCGGGCTTTTTTGCGGAAATGCCGACGGCTCCGAAAAAATGTAGCTTACTGGTATAGGCAAATCAAAACAGCCAAAGTGCTTTTGATTGGCAGGAAGTTTATTTTGCTTGTACAAAGGAAACAAAACAGCATGGATGACATCAGACTTTTTTCCGCAAGTTTCTGGCTACCTTGAACCAGAAAAGTGGTAGCAAAAAACAGAAATCTTTTGCTTTTTGTCGACCAGTGTTCAGCCCATTCAAAAGACTTGAAGTTTAAAAATGCCACCATAGGGTTCCTGCCCGCAAACACGGCGACCCGTCTACAGCCGCTGGACGTAAGAATAATTCAAAATGTCAAACATCATTTCAAAAGATTGCTTCCAGCGAAAATTGAGCACAAGGATGAAATTTTGAAGATAGTCTGCTGGACGCGCTACATTTTGTTGCTATATCTGTCCTAGGATAATGTGACGAAGAACACGATCACGAAATGTTTTCGCAAGTCTGGATTTTTTTCAGGACAAGATGCGGCTCTGGCAAAAGATAACTGAAGAGCCTGACGCTGATTTGCACATCGAGGGTTAGGAGAACTTCGAAACTGAAGCTTCCGCGCGAGACTTGTCACCGCGGACAATAACGTCGCGACTTGTGGGCTGTGATCTGTTAAAGAACTGGGTGACGAGGTTAAAGAGACAGAGTCCAACAGTGACAGTAAAGGCGCCGAGGTGTGTGACCTGCGGTCGACGTCGGGAAAACCACCACGTCCTCGATGTCCTGCGCTGCGCCGTAAGCGCTGGCAACGTGAGTGAATAAACCGCAGCACGGTTTTATGCCTTTCAAGTGATGTTCTTAAAGGACGGCAAAAGCATAAAAGTGCAAAAAACATTATGGACTTTTTCAGCAAAAAGTAGTTGATCGCAATAAGGTTATCGTTCATCTTCATAATCACCCGTATTTTGTTTTGGTTCATACGAATTCGGGATGACGCGAATATTTTGCGTGTTCCCTTCAAATTCGTATCATCGAGATTGTATTGTACTTCTGAAATCGCTTCTTCGTTTTTAGGCTAGGCTGCCACCTTGGCTTGCTTTTAATGTTCGGGTCAAGTGCTGGAGCCAAACTAATTTTTAAATGGGGTTACCTTGTTTGGCTCTGAATAAATAAGCAATTATGTTCAACTGGCTGTAGAATGATAGACCAATGATGTGTGGCCTCAATTATGCCCCGCCTGTCAAGAAGTTCAAGCTCGACTTCACACAAGGTCAAAGCCGGCATGGAAACAATAAAATGAGTGTGCCATACAATGCTACTCCGAGCTACAGTCAATAAAAGAAATCAATGATGCGAGTTGTTTGGCTAGTTGGTGCATTGTATCAAGAAAATATATCTAGGCAGAGAATGAATATACGTAGGAAATGAAAAGACAGGAAAGTGGTTATTAAACTGTCATTAAAGGGGCTGTGCAACACTTTTTGAACATGGTCAGAAAACGCTGCCAATCAGTAGTAGACGATTCGAGAATACGCGAGCCAAATGTATAGTGCAGCACTAGGCCTGGAATTCACAATAAATTATCAAAGTCAGCTGAAAAATTGCTTTCTTTTTCCTCGACAAATGATGGAAGATGATGGAAAATCACTCATAGAATGCCCATCTATTAGCCTTTGGCTGATTTGAACGTGGCGTGCTTGGTCATTCCAGAGATCGCCGCGGAAGGCCATCACTTCTCCACGCTTGCGTGCACTATTCCACTGAAAAAGCCACGTATTGAAAAATAAACAAACAAAAAAGTGTTCTAGGTTCTGAGGCGTGTGTGACGTACTTTGTTTGCCCATCCATCCCTGTTTAGCTTCCAGCACTTTCGTAGGGACGAGAGTAGAGAGAATGCGATTGCAGCATGTGACGAATCTTTATAACTCTGCTCGTACTGGATGGATTCTTAAACTTTTTGTGGCGTCAAATTTGTGAGGCAATAAGCTTTTTCAGTGAACTAATTTCATGGTTACTCAAAAAAGTATTTCAGGGTCCCTTTAAAGGAAAGCAACATGTAATGCAAAAAGTGATCCTAATGAAAGTTTTTGTTGGGCTAATTGGTTCATGCTTACTGGAAACACAAATACGCGTAACATCAAGGAAGAAAAATAAGGACAAAACAGAAAGGCCGTTACTTGCAACTAACTTTCTTCTCAGAATATCAGCGACATATGTCACTATAGTAATCGTGTGCACGCACGTGATCTCGCATGCTCATCAGAAAATGCACAATAAGATTGGGAAAAAAGAAATGATAACAAAAAAGTGACTAAACGAAAAACGATTCCAAGAAATTAAATTTACCACAACGCAGAGCAACAGATGTATTACTAACATAAACATCTCTCTTCTTTTTAATGCTTTCTTGATTTCATTTGCCACGGCATCGTTACTCTTTTCAAAAACGGATACACTTGCAGGAACCACAATGCACAAGCAAATTTGCCAAAAGATTATTTTTCATAAAGTTTATGAACAATAATTTTGTCGTTTATGCACCGGCCAGTTTAGCCAATATAAACCCTACCACAACTAAGCGAAATCTCGTACACCACGCCAACTGAGCAGGCGACATACGGCCTTGCTTGGCTCTTCCCACACGGGGAGCCTCAATGCAGTAGAAACTCGGGGGCACAGGCTTGCCATCTCGCCGGACGTGAAGAACACCAAAGGTACCTTGTGCCCGTTAGCCATATTATTCAGGTTGTGAGCAACCTTGTGCATGTATGGCATAACTAATAACCATGGGCCTTTTTTTTTATCGGCTGCCTGTTGATTCTCAATCCCTTTCTGTTTTGTCCAATCCCCCTTTCTTTTCGGTCCTTAAAATTTTCTTCCTTGATGGTGCACATCTTTTTGTTTTCAGAAAAATGTCATCATCTCAGGATCATATTCAGTACTTTGTTTAGTAATAATAATAATAATAATCCACAAGCATGACATAATTGTGAGGGACAACAAAATGGAGGGTTCTATGCATGTAGTGTTCTTGCATTGCACAAGCCTCAATCATTTTGCCTCCACTGAAATGCAACTCCCGTGGCAGGGATCGAATCCTACGGGTCAGCAGCTGAACCACTGATCCACTATGTTGTACAAACATTTGTTTTTTTAATTTTTATTGTGTGTGCTTAGCAAAAGCTTGCTGAACTAAGGAGTTCTCTCCTGCAACATTTCAGCTTTTAGCTTGCATCTATGGGGTGTGCATGGGCTTCTGCTTTGCAAAACTTGCACTACTTGGCAAGCCGTTCTGTTCATCTGTTTTTGAGTGAGCACCACCAAGGGTTTCTTTGCATCCGATGTCTCTACGTTGTGCTGTAATGCACACACTTCAGGATTGTGTTTTATCGTTAGCTACTCATTTGAGAAATATTGTAGTGGTTTGTTTATTGAGTCCCTGCTTTGGTGCTGGCACCATGCTGGAGAATAAGAAGTCACAGTATCACAGTATTACTAAGAACTTGAGTGTTTTATTTATGATGCACCTCATAGATGCCTGATTTTGTTATGCATTGTTGATTGCTTTGTAATATTCCTTTCGAGTTTTCCCAGTGATCTTTTTTTTTTGCTTATTTTGGGACACCTATATTTATTTTAAAAATACTTTCTGTTATTTCCTCAACTACCATAGATGCTTATTGATGGCTCGAAGTGAATTACGTACTGCAGCTCCTACGAAGCTGGCTTGTCTGGGATTCAGCCTCAGCTACAGACATGACTTTAGATGCGTGACAAGGAATAATTTGCATGCTGGCCCACACACTAATACGTTAATATTTTTCAAACAGGCTCATCACATTGATAGTCTTCTTGCATGATTACGAAAACGGGGTCTTGATGCATTATATAGATGAACATAGACTGCAAAAGCAAATTTAGAAATGTTTATCAGGCTTGCTGAACAGTAATTTTGCCAGGCCAGGGATTTGAAAAGAAAATCTGACCATGTGGAGTCAGTGCATGCCTATAATCTTGAGGGAAACAAAAGTGTTATCACCTATCTGACGTTATTAAATGTACGCAGGGGTTCACTGTTAAATGGAACATGAGAGTGTGTGAAAGCCACTGCCAGCCAGCAGCTGCAACAAGGAGTCTTATACCCCTGTCACACGGGCACCCGCGAAGACTGTTTAACTCCCTTGTCCTTACTACAACGAAGATGCAATCCGTGTCACACGGCCATCCTTACGCAAACGAAGGTAAACGGAGCATTTCGCAAAGGACGTTCAACGATCTCCCTTCGCAGCGAAACGAGGTACTCTCGTCCCCAGAAGTCTAGAGGTCAGATAAAAATTTGGAGCACGAAGTGGCTCCAGTGACAGAATAATACATTTTGGCAGTATTAAACTTTTTTTTTGTAGTACTCAATCACTACGCGTGTTTGTTTACATATATTTACGCCCGTCAGAGTCCTCTTACTCTCAACACCTATGCTTTACACACCGTGCCTCGCGAGTCGGGACTAACCACCCTATCGGGACGGCCGGCGCCAGCCGATCAACGTCATTACCAGCGCAATATCGTACCACTTCCTCACGTCGTCCGCTGTGTCACTCATGGCTGAAGAACGCAAAATGTGCGCTCACGAGGCAAGGAAGCATAAGAACGTTCGTACCGAGCATGTATACCGGCAAGAAAACAACTAGAAGCACAATGTGGCCGGCGTCACTAGCAGCATTGCAACATTTAGCAAATGTGTTTTTATTTGAAATCATTTTTAATGGTTTGTTAGTCGCATACTTACTTAATAGTGCTTTTTTGTAAAAACGGCACAACAAGGATTCACAAAAAATCAATATAGATGATATAAGAATGCTTTTTCGAAAATCAAACAGCGCCAGCTGAGCCCCATCGCGGCAACTGTTGCAACCTTGCCATTGCCGTGTGACACTGCCACAACTCCTTCTCCGTCGAACCCCCTAGGGGAGATTTATGTTGACATTGTTCAACGGAGTTTCGTGGTGGCCGTGTGACAGGGGTATTACACTTTTGTCATACCGTCTGCTTCCACACTGTCAAATGTTGCGAAGCGAAACTTTCGTTCAATGAAAGAACATCATTGACAGCGCGCTTAGTGCATTCATGAAACTCGTACTCATCGGCTGGCAATGATGGTGATAAAAACTTTATTTTGGTCCAGAGAAGGCGTATGGGAGACTTTGTGCCACCCAGCTGGTCGCACGTAAAGACCGTCAAGCAGGGCTTGGCGGCCTGTTTGACGGTCAGTGTGTAGTCATTGAGTTCAGGCTTGCACAAGAGCACTGCTCACCTCTCCTCGTCAGTGGCTTCACATTCCCCCAACACATAGTTAAATGTTGCTAATAGTCTACAAGCAGGGCAGTTCTCACTGGAATACTGTTCAGGGTATATGCCATGAAGAACTGCAGGGTTGGGATATACACGTGCTTACGCAATACCCTACGCAAGGAAGGGGGTGTGGGGAGGGGAATACCTGTCTTGACAGATACAAGTGTTTAGTTATCTCGTTCAACATGAGCAAGGACTCACTGTGAGGCAGGGGGACTGTGGAGGTGGTGTGGTCAGTGCACCCTTCTTAGGGTTAAAGTGAGAGAATGGGGAGTGATACTTTTGATGCTTTAGAGAATGCGAAGGGGTGACCATCCCGGTTTCGTAAGCTTTGATAGTTGCCTTGGAGTTGTTATAGACACTCTGAGACTATTTAGTACAGCCAGCGCTATTGCAACCTGTTCGGCTATCATAGGCAGTGACGTGCTTATCGTAGCGGAGCAATATTAGTAGACGATGGAGACAGTGACTTCCTCTTCTAGAACATACGCCGCAGAATCCACAAAGCTTGCCTCAATGTGCTTACTTTGGACATGATCGAGCAGAGCTCTACTCTTGGCCCAACGTCAACTAACATTGTGTGCGGGATGTGTATTGCAGGTAACAGGTGCAATGGGTAGTGGAGACCTGATGTCTCTGGGAATCAGCACGGCGTGAGCACTCTTACGCCTCAATTATCTCTTCAAGTGTGTTGTGAACTTCAAGCTTGAATAGGTTTTGGGTGCAGGCACTTATAGGCAAGCTGAGGGCGCTTGAGGACCTCACAGATGAGGGAATTGAGCTTGCTTCTCTCTGCAACATGCTAATTATGCATCCCCGCCGGGTATGAAAGGTGGCAGAAGAGAAAAGCATGTATGATGCAGATGAGATTGTGTTCCTTGATTCCTTGGTGTCTCTTGGCGATCCTCCGGTTGTGGCAATCTAAGTGCTGTTTTGTTGGTATCGTTAGACCAGATGTACATCTCCAATATTCGCAGTGACTTCACTTTGGGCACCGGAGACCCATTACGAGTCAAAAGCCATATATCGCTTTTAGACTCAGGTTTCCAGTCATGGTGGCTACCACTGCTTCTTAGTCTTTTCTTGTAGAGCAGTAGTTCAGATTCAATGGAGAACACCTGAGCCCATTGGGACGAAGAAAATGCTCAATCATATCGATGGTGTTCTGCATAGCTTCCTCAACTTGGCCATTGCTCTCGCCAGTACATCAGATGTGTGTCATCTGCTTAGATAATATGGCTGATTCCTTAAATCTTGGCGAGCCCAATCATTACGATGTTAAGTAGTATAGGAGAAATAACTGAGCCCTGAGACGTCCCACGTCAATTGAGGATGGCCTCTTGGGAGAGGTACCCTTCGATCTTGAACTTGGCAGTTCTCTGGCCAAGAAAGGATCTCACGAAGTCGTAGTCCCTCTTCTGCAAGATCGGCAAAAACTGCAGAATTATTGTCATGGTGTAATTAAAAAATGGCTCTGGTATCTCCTGTACTCTGGTCAATGATCTAGTCAGCTTCATGGAGTCCTCTGTTGAGGTGCCAGCTATGAAGCCAATCACATTGGGGATGTAATTGTCATTGGTCCTGAGGTGCACCTTGAGGTGGTTCATCCTCTACAGCCTTACCCGAACAAGAAGTTCAAAAAATCTATTTCTTGTGTTTTACCAGATTTTAGGATGACTGCCCCCGACTTCCCCAAGCTCCGATATTTCATTTAACAGTGCACCCTTGTGTACATGAGCTAACCTTTTGGAGACTTTTCATGTTATCACGTCAGTGAAATACTAAGCTTACTTTGCTGTTGTCAGTGTTGTTCCTGACATTTTACTCTACTGACGTTTTGCTCAACAGGTCAGGCACTGCTGTTTATGGCTACAGAGCACTGCCAATCAGTGCCATCATTGGTGCAAAGGCTGTTTTTAGGCCTAGCATCGCATTCAACTCTAGCGTGGCTACTTGGTGGAAACTCGCGATACGAGTTCTGAAACCAGGGTGGCAAAACCAATCTTTCCGGCTTTACATTAAGCATCGTACACTCAAATCTCATTATGACAAAGTTGTACCTTACACGCAAGTAAGTTTTTATATTCGAAAATTCGTTATAAAGATTTATTTCTAACACTATATAATACGAATTACAAGACTATTTTTCATCTATTTCGGCATGACAGGTAGGTAGGTAGGTAATCAACTTTATTGATTCACGAAGGAATCATTTGAGGGGGGGTGTGGTAGGGAAAGTGGAATTAGGATAACGACGAGCCCTCGGGCCGCTCTAGGTGGCCGGACACTGCTGTCCTTCGGCGACCCTTCTGGCCCAGCTCTCTGTCCAGAGCTGTAAACCCGGTTGCGAGCTGCGCAGAGCAGCCTCCCATCGCTCCTGGTGTTCTGACCCTTGCCACGAAGGCTTGGGTTTGTTTGGACAATTCAGAAATATGTGCTGGAAGTCGGCTCTGGTGCTAGGACATAAGTTGCAACGAGGTGAGGTTTCGCCATGTGTAAAAAGGGAGAGAAGAAAAAGAGTCGTCACTGTGGCCGTTTGAAGTCTGCGCCACAAACCCTGGTCACTTCCGAAGAGATATTTATGTGGCAGGGGATACGTTAGGCGGGAATTTCAATAAAATAGCGTGATATTATGATAGCTGAGGAGTCGATCCCTGGCACCTCGAAGCGAAGGCAGGTCGCTGTGAGCCCTGTTGGCGAGTGCTCGAGCTTGAGTGTGAGCTGCGGTGTTGCCTAGGTGTCCACAGTGCGCAGGGACCCAGAGGAGGGTGATGAGGCGATCAGGCGGAAGAGATGATTCAAGAATTTTAGCAGCCGGGGAATGAATCGGAAAGTGGCGAAATTACGAATTGCAGTTTTTGAATCGGAAAAAATATACTCGGCGGAGGAGTGAACAATGGCTAAAGCAATTGCCGCCTCCTCTGCTTCCAGGGAATCTGTCGAATTTGGAAGGGACGCACTAGCAACCAGTTTTTGAAATCCATCTACGACGGCTACCGCGGAAGCTCGATGATCTACATATTCGGCTGCGTCTACATAGACTGCGGGAGAATTAGGAGGGAAGCACTTCTGAAGGGACTTGGCTCGAGCTTCCCGTCGCGCCCGATTATTTTCTGGGTGAGTATTTTTGGGGAGTGGCGGGATTAATAGGTTGCTGCTAACAGTGACGGGAACTGCGTGCGTGGCCGTGGTGTGACCAAGAACGTTGATTCCAAGTCGGCGCAGGAGTACCTGTCCTGTTTCTGTGAGTGATAGTCTGATATTGGCTGAAAAGATGTATCTCTGCAAGCTCTCTCAGAGTGTTGTGCACCCCAGTTGAAGTAGTTTATCCGTGGCTGTTGATTTAGGGAGATGGAGTGCAGTTTTGTAGGCATTACGAATGAGTCTGTTAAGTTGCTCGATCTCCGTAAGTAAGAAATAAAGTTAGGGGATAGAATAGGTAATTCTGCATAGGCAAAAGGCCTGTATGAGGCGGCGTGTGTCTGCTTCCCTCATGCTGCCATGACGATTGGATATGCGCTTAATGAGGGAAGCTGTATTTTGAACTGAGGTGCGGATTAACTTTACTGGTGTCAGCGTTCAAACCATTGTCGGAAATATTAAGGCCTAAAATATTGATTTTATTGACCCTGCGAATAGGGGTGTCATCAAGCGTGACTTGAATGTGACATGTATCTTGCTTTTTAAAGTCAATTACTAGGAGTTCCGATTTAGCCGCCGAGCTGGTGAGCCCAATATTGTTGGCATGTTTAACAACAATGTCAGCGGCCAACTGAAGCTTCGATTCGATATTGCCATGGCTGCCAGTATTGACCCAGATGGTGATGTCATCCGCGTACAAGGAGTGATTGATGGAAGAAAGTTTGGCAAGTTCCCGTGCTAGCGGTATGAGAGTAACGTTAAAAAGAAACGGGGACAAAACCGATCCCTGGGGCGTTCCCTTGCTACCTAGCGTGAAGGGATCAATTTTAAAAGTGCCCAACTGTAGGCATACGGACCTATTGCTGAGAAAGGCAGAGACATACCTGTGCGTGCGAGAGCCTACGTTTATTTCACTAAAAGATTGTAAAATCGAGGAGTGAGAAACATTATCAAAAGCCTTAGTCAGGTCCAATGCAAGGATGGCTCTGGTGATGTGTGAAAAAGTAGGATTTAGCACGTCCTCCTTAAGCTGCAGCTTGACATCCTGAGTGGAGAGTCCCGCTCGAAAGCCGTACATGGTGGAGGAAAACAGTTTTTTTTGTTCGATGTAGCGATTAAGACGATTGAGAATTACATACTGCATCAGTTTTCGTGTACATGAGGTAAGAAAGATCGGTCTCAAATTATTAAGGTCTAACAGCTTATTATGTTTGGGTATGAAAGTCATCTTAGCTGAGTTCCATTCCTGGGGCAGCGTGCCCTGCTCCCATCGTTCATTCATGTAATCGATAAGAGCTGCCACTGACTTGGAGTCTAAATTTCGGAGTGTTTTGTTAGTAATTCTATCTAGTCCTGGAGCAGATGTGGTGCGAAGTTCGCTTAGGGCAGCCCAAACTTCCGCCTCTGCAATTGGTGCACCCAAGTCTGCATTGGGAGCTCCATTGTAGGTAGGTAACGATTCTCGCCTTGGGCCAGGGAAGTACATAGCTTTAAGAGCAGTTTCAACGTCTTGCCCTTGTTTTTCTACTTCAAACAAGAGTTTCGTAATTCGCTTATTACTTTCACATTGTGAGGAGCATGGATCTAACATATGGCGAAGCAGGGACCAAGAGCTTCTTCATCTGTAGAGTACCGTCGAGTCGGTTACATATCTGGTTCCATTGCTGCGATGAAAGTTCGGCCGCGTGTTCACTTACAAGCTGGAGTGTTTGTGACATTTTGCGTTTTAGTTTACGATTATATTTTTGCTTGAGCCATCGTTTCTCCAAGCTCTGATAGGCTTTTCATAGGTGGAGTAGCCTGCTGTCTACTGGATCACGGATATGTGCTGCTGGGGCTACTTTTTCGCTAAGAGCTAGATCCTGTTTAAGCTGAGACGCCCAGTCTTTGTAGTCTTGAATTTCTTTTTTCGAGTTTCGGTCTCGGATTTCGCAAAATTTGTCCCAGTCAACAATAGGTTTTAAAAGAAACTGTGCACGAAAATTGGCATGGGACAGTGTAATTGTTAGGATGTAATGATCACTGCTCAGGTTGACCCCACTGTGTGTCCAGTTAGCTTGTCACACATTTTTAGTGAAAGTAAGGTCAGGGGTGGTATCTCTGCTCACACTGTTGCCAATTCATGTTGGTAGCATGCAGTCAGTGACTAGAGTGCACCTGTTTCGCTGAATGTATTGAAGAAGGCTGGTGCCCTTCCGAGTGTTTCTCCTGTAACCCCAATCTACGTGTGGGGCATTAAAGTCGCCTGTTACAACTATGGCAGCAGAGTTTGCTATTTGGATGGCCCTATCGATTGCTTCAAAAACAGCAGTGAGGCCATCTCTAGGATGAGAATAAATATTCAAAATAAAATATGTGCCTTGTCCTGTACGACGTGGGAGAAGTTCAAGAAGAAGGCCTGATAGCCGAGGAGTTTGCAAGCTTTTTAAAGGCTCCTGTACGGAGATGACATCAGGGGCCCGTGTAGACCGCTGTATATAAAGTGAGAGGTTGTCTCTCTTGTTTCTTAATCCACG